AAATTATTTTTTATTTTTTATTTTTAAAATGGGCATTTTGTAGGACATGCTTACAGGAAGTGTGACATCAACGGTTCCTGGGTCTTTATGGAGCACTGGAACAAAACATGGACCAATTACTCAGAGTGTTTACGCTTTCTCCAGCCCTTCAGTGACGAAGATGGGAGAGTAAGTATCGCTATAAAATATTAAAGTTGCAGCTGTATTTGTGAAATATGTTTTCCATTGTGAGTATACAGTAAAAGTCTCCAGCTACCCCTCATTTCTGTACATTTTGCTTCCAAGCAGCCAGACTTTCCCTTAACTTAAGCCTGACGACCTTTCCCGCGTGCATACTGCACGATCACACCACTGCACCACCCTTTTCCCTATTATTAAGGAACTCAACACTGGCTTTGAATCATTCAAACAAAACAAAAAAGTCCTAAATCAAGAGATGAAGCAACTAGATGTGTCTAAAACAGACAAGAGACAACAAAGAACCAAATTTAAATTGTATCTTTTGGCACTTTATTACAAGCAGCCTATTGCAAAGACACATTTCTTCCTGTTTCTTTAGCTGAAACCATGAAAAATGCCAACGATAACACAGTTTGACAGGCATGAAATAGTATTTTTACACCAACACGCTGCTATCAGCTGAAAACTTGGCATTGTTGCCTCTTAAAAATTTTAAGGACACTAGACAAGTGGAGAACAAAAGAAGAAGTGACAGGGCTAAAAACAATCCACTGCAGATGAACAGTGTCTGATAGCCACACAGACCCGACGCAGGAGCTGAGAGATGCACCCGAACCTTCAGCTGATCCACCCGCTGTTCACCAAAGCCTCATCAGAAATGGCTGTGAAGAAGTCATTTTTAAAGAAGGGAATCGGGAGAAACGGCTGATGTGTGCTAGACAAGAGACAACTGGGCTGGAAGTCAGTGATGAATCTAAATTTGAAATTTTTGGTTCAGATCTTCATCAGTTTGTCTGTAGGAGGTCTGGGGAGGTACACTGAGTATCTACACTTGTCTGTAACACTCTCTGATGGGTTGGAGCTGGATTTCAGCCAGTGTTGCTGGAGAGCTTGTTAAAACGACTGAAATTATGAACGCAGAAAAGTACCAGTAGATTTAGATCTACAGTGTAATCCTATCTGGAAAGCATCTGATTTCAGCATTCAGGCTGTGCAGAAGAAAAAAGCAGCCATACAATTTCTTTGACTTTTAAGCTCTTTCAAAATGTACAAACTGTGCTTTCACCTCACATACTGTTTCCATGTTTCAATAAATTGCTGCCATATCTTCCATTTTCCTATCTAAATGTAAATAAACGAGGGGTGAATCAAGCCTCGCGCAGTGTTGCACACAGGTCAATAAACATACATAGAGCAGACCTCTGTGAATAAGTCTGGATGTTCTCTGAAACATCTGCTGCCCTGTCTGCTCCATCTTACACAAACATCTGTTTTGTGGTGCAGAGCTTCATATTCTTACCTCGAGTGTCTAACAGCCAAACAGCTCCTCATCCTCTGAAGCTCACGTTCTCACCCTTTTTTCCTTTTTCCTTGTTATCCTTTAACACAGCTTTCAGGCTCTCATCACAGGCTGCATATTTATGAGTTGTTAGCTGTTCATTATGTGTTCCTTCTCAGGTTGTAGAAGAAAAATGATTAAAGGAAATCGGAAATACTGCTAACTTTTGTACAGCAGGATTATGACAGTCTTATTTTCTACTCAGTAATCAGCTCCAAAAAGCATTTCTTAAAATACAAAGCAGACATTTGGTAAAGAAACCAAACAAAGTGTACTCAGAAGCCGGTGACTAATCATATAGCATAATTATTTCAGGACAAATAAGAACACTGTGCTCCAAGCAACCAAAAAATAAATAAAATTTAAAAACATGTAATCATGCAGACAGTCTGCATCTCTTGAAGATCAAACATATTACTCAATAAAGCCTAGTATCCGCCATAGTGATTAGTGTGCTGTTTGGTATGATTCACTATGAAAATATCAATTTCAACTGCAGATTTTGATATTTTAGCCATTTGAAGGCAGAAAAGGATACAAAATCTCAATAATTGGAGAAATTTTCATCTCTCCATCTGTTTGTTTACAGCCATTTAAATTCTCATATTTCATCTAAAAGTTACTTTCAGTTACTTTTCCCCTTTCCTTGTTTTACCTGCTTCACATATAAGATGTTATTCAATTCAATTTTATTTATACAGCGCGAAATCACAGCGACAGTCGCCTCAAGGCACTTTATATTGTAAGATAGAGCCTACAATAATACATACAGAGAAAAACCCAACAGTCATATGATCCCCTATGAGCAAGCACTTTGGCGACAGTGGGAAGGAAAAACTCCCTTTGAACAGGAAGAAACCTCCAGCAGAACCAGGCTCAGGGAGGGGCGGGGCCATCTGCTGCGACCGGGTGGGGTGAGAGAAGGAAGACAGGATAAAGACATGCTGTGGAAGAGAGACAGATAATAATAAATGGATTATCCAACCTGAGACTACATAAGTGACATTAATATGCCTTCATGTCACCTTTTAAAGCAGCTTTTGTAAGTGTATTCACACAGCAGACAGAGAAATGGAGCATCATTAGTATTTGGACTTGGTACCATGTGTTTTTTTGGTCTTTGTGTGCGTCTCTAACAGCTCCAGGGGGAAATGTTTGACTTTTTAGCTGCTAACTGCTGCTGTGTTCACCGGCTAATTGCCAGCTTTGGATGCCTCATGTCAGGAGTGGGTGTACTGTAGTAGGAAACAAAAAGTAGTCGACGTGCTGCTGCAGAGACTCTTTACTGAGACACTCGAGTTTGGAGGAGTGACAAATTGCAGCCGAGTGATAACAGATAACAAGCTTCCATTCAGTGTTGAATTACATAAAGTTGGGCTGTTTCCATGAAAACAATAAAAAAAATAGTAACTTTATATATAAAAAAGTTTGTCTCTCCAACCTGCTAAACGCTCTCCACAAACTTGCTTTAGATAGAAGAATCAAATCTACAATCCTCCGAGTCCTTCATCCAACTTGGCTCGATTGCAGCTTTTGTGAAATCACAACTGACTTTGAGCAACTGGTACAGCTTTTTAACAATAAGCCTAACATGTGCTTAATATCTCAAATTTAGTTTGAGGCATGTTTAACAAAAAGACTTCCGGGTCTGTCGCTTTAAAAATTATGGATCGGCTCAGCCTTAATTTCCCTCCATCATCATTTTTCTTTACAAAGAATTAAAATCTTGTCAAGAAAATTAATAATACTCTTATAAAATTAGCCTTTTAATTTCACTCCACACAGCTTTTCATATTCAACCTATTCATCTAAGCAACCACACGACCCTGGGGATGTCATCTGCTCTGAAAATAAAACATTACCAGGAAGAGAGACTTATAGCCATCTTTTGTTTTTGGTATCAGCTGGATCTTCTGGCTGCTTTGAGCCTAACCACTCCTCGTAGAGATTACATTATCTTAGATTTCCAGGGGATGGATTTGCTGCTAAAACTCCTGAAGTAATTTCTACTCTATCAAAGATTAGGGATGTAATGCTGACTCATTTTTCTGTTTTAATTAAACTCCATTTGTGATGGGCTTTCATGTTCTTGTTGATGCTCCGTTTTTTTTCACCATACCATTTTGAGTCATGATTGTGTAAATTGTACCAGTCTTGTTCAGAAGTTGACTAAATAGGAAATGTCTCTCTTTCCTGTCACAGCAAGACTTCTTTGAGCGGCTGTACGTCATGTATACCATTGGCTATGCCGTGTCCTTCAGCTCTCTGCTAGTGGCCATCATGATCATTGGATACTTCCGGTAAGAGAGCAGTTTTTGTTTTTGCTTAAATCATAAACTGCAGTTTGTCAAATCTGAGCTTCTGCAGATAGAAAACACATCAGTGGAATGACAGAGGGAGCCGGACTCCTGCTGCTTCTGCACATCCTGCTTTGGATTCTGAAAATCAGCAGTGGCAGGAACTTAAAAATAACAGCAACATTTAATGCCTTAATGACTTGAACTTTACAGGTTATGAAAATTCCCCAGCAGCTGGGGATATTTATATTCTTGTGATGCCTCTGTCAGCTCCCTCGTCAGCTGGAATATTTGTGTCCTGTTGCCTCATGTACCGTTTCGAACCACATCTAGTGGATGCAGAGTTGAGTATACTTCAAATGGCAGAATGCTAATTAGTCAAATTTAGAGTGTGGTGTTTGGGGACGCTGCCGTCTCACACATCTGCATATAGAAATGTAAGATGTGCTCAAATAATGACTCATCTGTATGTCCACATGAGACAAGAAGAGATCATTTTATGTCCAGTGTTGACATTCAGCGGCAGTGCAGCAGTAGATGTAGCAAAACTGACCTTCAGGAGCCAAGATTTACCCTTAGCAATTATTTCAGAACCACAGCCACATTTTTGAACGTTTCGACAGTTGATGTAAAATTTTTACTTTGTCCTGTCGTATTGGAGCGTAGATATGAGTACCCAGAACGCAGCTTTCAGAGGCAGAATGGACAGAACAAAAATGTGAGCCGTGTCTGATCAAAGCCCAAAAATAACAAATCCAAAAGAGAACAGAGTCCAAAATGCAAAGTAACTAAAGCCAAGAAGAGCAGAGAGGGAAACATGCAGGGAGGCTGCAAGAAGACAAATACTATAAAAACACACAAGGAACAGGTGAGGGGGATTACACAGGCGAGCTCAATCATGATAAACACAAAGTGGAAGTAAAACTAATCAATCAAGGCCATGAAGGGAAATCAGGCTACAAAATAAAAGAGGAAATAGAAAACTACTAGACACAGATACTTAAACATTAAGAGGCACGGGCGAACAGAGAGGGCAAATGTATAAGCGTACGGAAATGAGACGGACGAACGACCAAGAATGAAAGACTGAAGGAACATAATGGAAAATTCTAAGACCGCTGCTTCTCCGTGTCAAGCTGACTGTGCCAAATGAAAGGCTCTGACATGCTGTCATATTCTGTCTCCATCTAATCTTTCAGAAATACCACGTGTTGATGTACGAGTTATCTTTTATTACATATCTTGTCTATATAAATATTCTAGGCTTGCAGTCCCTCTTGGTCAAAATGCAGGCTACTACATGTTGTTTGACCCCTTTGCAAAGGTAAATGAAACTCACAAAGACATCCTGTGTTCCTCAACAGGAACGGTGCAAGAAAAACTCAAAATAGGAACTGACACTTATTATAAACCAGCAATAAAAAACTGGACAATCATAAACCAACTAAAAACATGAAGAAATCAATCAGAAAATACCAGAAATATGAGAACATGCTAAACAATATACACAAGGACACAGGGAGCCATTCTTATCTGGCTATGAGGTTAGCATGCAAGTCACATCCTGTGTAGTGTCATGCAAACACATCCCTAATTACCAGATCCAAGGCTTCAAAACAAAGTCGTGCACACTTCCCCTCCAGTTCATCATTCCCTGCATCGCTATCTGCACAGAGCTTGGATCCTGGTAAGCAGTCAATACCATGCCAACTGTTGCATACAGCCTGGCTGGAAAGACTGAGGATTAGATTTTGGTGGGACTGAGTGTGAAAGGGGCAATCTCTCTGTTGTGTGTGTACTGTTGAAGTTGTAAATACACTGTGAACATCGACTTTTAAAAACCTTGTGCCTTCTTCTTGAAAAAGGGATCGGACCGATGGCTAGGTTTAACAAAATATTTGTCAGATTGACTTTGACCAGAACCCCAACATTTATCCATGACTGCTAAAGTTTTTTACATTTGTGATCCAAATAAAGAAAAATAAA